GATGGTAGAGTGGTATCACTGAAGGGGGCGTGGTATTGGTTTTGGACCAGTCATTGCAATACTCTGGTTCATGCTGGTGATCCTGTGAATCTAGTGCTTGCCCGTGAGGAGGATGCAGAGTCACCTATGGTGACCTGTGGGGGCACCGGCAACTTTCTCATTTTCCATCCGTCTATTCTCTTGTCGGGTACGACTATTTCTAACGCCTTGCCGTGCCAGAGGAAGACTCTACTGCAGCACCTCCTCAGTGATGTCGGCTATGGTGCGCAGAATAACATATATGCGACAGTTGGCAACGCCGTCCATACCATCATACAGAACTCTCTCATGTTCGGTCGAGTCGATGAAGCGTTTGTTCGGCATGTGGTGGATTCCGCGAAGATGGACCTGTGGTTCAGCGGTTTCAGCAGTACGTCGATGCTAGAGAGGCACGTCAGAGAGAGAGTTCCGCAAGTAGCGCAATGGTTAACCGAAGTAGTGCCGAAAAAATTCTCCCGATTGATCGCGGCTGAGCAAAACGTTAACTGTCGGAAATTCGGACTCAAGGGGAAAATAGATGCGGTGGTGGAGACTGCGGCTGGAGGGCAGCAGGGCTTAACCTGCTTGGAAATCAAAACGGGAAAACCCTGGCACACACATCTCGGGCAAGTTACTCTGTACCACCTCCTCATGATGGACTTGTACAGTGAGGAGGGAGTGGGCGCGGGTCGGCTGGAGGTTGGGTATTTTAATGGTAACAGGAACCTGAGGGGACCTCCAGGAGGAGGAGCAGCAGCGCCGGCTTGTGCTGAGATCAATGAGGTTAGAGGGGGGGGGGGACGATGGGCCTCGTGGTTCCGACTCGCAGGCTCAAGACTCGACTTGGGAGTTCAACATTGAATTTCCACGTAGTGTAACTAAAAATAAAAACTTGAACAAAATAATAACTAATAAATTTCATCACATTCGTTCGTTTCTAAGGTGACCCCTTCCCCCACGGAGTTGGACAACCTCATGTGTGTGCGCAATACGTTGGCGTTGCATTTGGCCAGGAAGAGTCTGCCGGCTACTATAGGAACCAAGAGGGAATGTGAACGGTAAGAAGGTGGGTTAGAATCATGAAGATTATTATTGGAGTTTCACGAGCCGTGATATGAAAACCACTAGTGAAAAGCATATTTTACGACTACTGCATATCACCGCGAATATCGCGTTTTTCATCGAGTTTTACGCCACTTCACGTAAAACGGGCTGTGAAACTCCATTGTTATCAAACCCTGGGGAACGCTATTCTCAAAGTTAGATGGATCTCTGTATTGCATTGCGTCCTCGATCTTATCTTGTATCTCGTTGAGATTCGCGCATGAACGGTATAGAATATTTCGTTATAGAGCTATTCAGGTGCCCTATGGCCTCTCACTGTGTTGCTGCGCATTTCATACTGGAGAAAAAGTGATGAGGGGGAATAATTTTGTGGCGCGCGGTAATTTCCACACTCTAGGGATGCAGAGAGTTTTGGCTGTCCTCTGCCTCTTGCGATGGAGTCCTGTGGGGGCGGCGGCGTGTTGGAGGAGTACGTAAGGAAATGGTGGAGATGGCTGCGACGGGAAGAGAGGGCAGGTGAGAGTTTGTTGGTTACGATGGAACCCGATCGGACAATGCTAGATGGAATTTAGAGAAGGTTCAATCACGGTGGAGTGGTATGATACATTATGTGAATTAGTGTATGTTTGATCTACAAAACCGATAACACAATTGTTTTTCGCAAAGTGAAATATGGTTTTCATATCACGGGTGAAACTCCACTGTTCGAGTAGGGGCGATAGGCTCTTCTTGTCCTCTGCTGTATTATAAGAGCTTAGTTATGTGGAATTCGGGAAAAGACAATGATGAGCATTGCAGCGTTCAGGAGACCACACACCCGTAGTAGTTCTAGAGAGGGCTCGGGTGAGGGAGATAACATTGGGGGAGGCAAGGCAGGTATGGGAGGTGGAGGGGGAGGCTACTGGACAGGAGATATGTCTTGGCGATGAACTACATGTGAGGAGAATGGGAAGGGACTGGGGATCGAACCGGGGACCTTTTCGGAGGCGGAAAAAATGCACATGATCAACTACGTAATTCTAAGGAAGTTCTTGTTGGTTTCTGTACACTTCTACCCGAATTGTATGTATGTAACTTCAATAGTTAGTGATGAAATTCCCGAGCTCAGCTGAGGAAAGCGAAAATATATTCCTACTCTAACTCGAGTTCTAGATCGGAGTCAAACACGCATAGCAGGGAATCAT